TATATAAAGACCAGGAGTAAATATATCTTGGGAAATAAAACAAATACAGTCATTAATGACAGTATCAGAAATACAACAGAGAAAAAATGAGTATTAAGGACAAATTATAGAACAAGGGAAAATAATTGTACTTGTAGAGTTGAAACAAGTGTTAATGAATTAACTAATTAATTAATTTCACAAAAGACACTTTATTTTTGGTCTGTGACCATATCCCTTATCCCACTGCTTAAAGTTTTCTGAACCAAAAAAGGGGAGAGGGGATGTTTTTGTTTGTTTCACTGAAAAGGAAACACTTGACTTTTTCCTTTTCTTTTTTAGTGGATTTAACATCTGATATAGCTAAAATCTTGGTGAAAGAAGATGAATATTTCATTAACCCTTATCTCCTTATGAATTTTCCAACTTTAAAGTTCTCAAAGAACATGAAGACATCTTTATGATCTTAATAGATCAGCAGCAACTTTTTCTTATTTAAATTTCTATATTACCGAATAGCCACTGAAGAGTCAGAAGGATGAAAATAAAACTATCACAAAAATCTAAGTACACATAATGTTTGCTAATGCCTTGATTACCCATGCTATCTTCTTCTTCTTTTTTCTTTTCTGTTTTTGGTCAGTCATGGGGCTTCAACTTAGGGACTGGATGCCATCCTTGAGCCTCTTTGTGCTCAAGGCTAGTACTCTACCATGTGAGCCACAGCACCTTTTATTGGAGATGAGAGTCTTATAGGGACTTTTTTGACCAGGGTGTCTTTGAACCTAGATCCTCAGATCTCAGCCTCTTGAGTAGCTAAGATTACAGGCATGAGCCACTGGCACCTGGCTACCATGTTATCTTCTTTTAATTTGGTTAATCCACAGAGCTCATTGATGGTATCATTCTATTTTCCCAAAGGTTTGGAATTCTAGATACTGATATTGCTTCTACATCTATCATTTCTCTGATTGGAGTGGGAGTCCCTTGTGTCTTGTTTATCATTGTATTCCTAGGGTCTAGAACAGTATTTGATAAATACTTAATGAGTGAATAAATAAGTAATAAAAAGCAGCAATACTGGATACTTACTTTGTGAGATACTATATTACTGACTTAATTCTCCAGTAACTTTTTGATAGAAATTTCATATTTAGTACTATTTTAACAATAATTACTGAGAAGTAACTTGACTAAGGTCACACAGCTAGTCACTAACAGGTTTTGAACTTAAGCTGTCTGCCACAATGGCCAATATTTAAGCATAATAATACTTCCTCACCAGAAATTAATATGCTATATAATAAATCTGTGCATTAACATATGTGTGTGTGTACAACAGTAAATAGAGACACTATTTTATTTTGTATTGTTTTGTAAGGCTGAGGATGGAATTCAGGGCTTTATACATGCTTTGCAAAAGAAAAACAAAGGAGGAGGCAACAATGCTTGATAGGAAATGTACTCATTACCTTGCTCATGTAATTGTAACTCCCTCTGTACAGTATTTTTACAATAAAAAATAACATTAAAAAAAAAACTCTAACCACGAGCTATACTCAAGCCCAAGGAAGGAATCCTAAGTGACAAAGAAATCAAGCAATAGTCATTACTAAACACTAGAATTCAGGGGCATGAGAAATTTAAAGTCTAAATCCCAGATCAAGCTTTCTGTAGTAGCAAAACTCCTGAACAATCCAAAAAACCCCAGAGGCTACTAGGTAGAACACCAAAAAAAAAAAAAAATGTGGCTCCATTCAGCTTCATTGCATGCTAGATCCTTAAACAGAATAAAAAGTTTCCCAATTTTTATGTTGGTAGAGAAGCAAGATTTAGGTATATTGTGGTGGCTAAATCATGACAGACAACAATTATCCTCACAAGGAGAACTATGTTCTTAATGGAGTCACCAATGACCTTTTTCCAGTAAGTAACTGCATTTGCTGAGGAGAGGGCTTTCTTATGACCAGGGAACAGCTCAAAAAAAAACCCCAAAGAAACACAAAACTACTTTCTGTCAGTCTTGCTTGCTGTAGGACACTCTGAGACCTGATATGTATGACCTCATCACTTTTTGTTTTTCAACTTTTCAATGTTTTTGTTTGTTTTAACTTTGTTTTCAATCCTTCATTCTTAAGCCATTTGACTGCAAGAAGATCTAGCTTATGCACTCTGTGCCTGACATCTCCTGGTGCTACACATAGAACTCAGGACCTTGGTAGATGTTAATCAAATGCTCTACCACTGACCTACATATACCCCCAGCCCTAGTTTATGTTTCTGGAATTAAGTGCCTTATGTTAAGGCAAAGAAACTTTCATAGAATCTCAAGAAGAATGAAAATGTGGCATGCAAAGGATAGACTAAGCTGCTCAGCAGGGAAGGATAGGGTTTAGAAGTAGGAGAATCCTTTAATTTCCCTTCTGTCAGTGCTGACTAGCCTCATGGGAGCTCAGTGCTCCTTACAACTTCCTTATAGCTACTAGGGCCCTAAGCCTTGTGAAAAACTTGTTTACTATGTAGGCTTAAATTCTGGTCACCTTTCAACTGGAGGCAATTCCACAGAAGGCCATCATGTCATGCTGATCCAAGTTTCAGAGAATCTTGTTCTGAGGAATGGGGTTAAAAGTTTAATTTTACTCTACAAGAAAACCATGCTCAGTGGACTACTAGTTTGAAGTGTGGTAAATAAAATTAATGCAGCCTAAAGGCTTAGAAAGATGAAAAACAGTTTAAGACCTCAAATTAGGCAGTAAAGGGAATCTCAGAGGAGAGCAGATGAGGGGAAAATAAAGCAGGCATATGAAACCAGACACCAATCTTGCGTTCCAACAATGCTGGTGTCAACAGAGTTGCAGAACAGGTATGGTGATACCATTTGAATGGACAAAAGGAACTGGATGGCAGGAAAGGGGGTTGATAGGGATTCAAGAACAGTCTTGTTCGTCTTAGGGTCCTTTTCCTGTTCAGCAATTCTTTTGTGTCCTTATCAATCCAACACCTTGCCTAAGTAAGAATGACAGACAATCCATTCTTAATGACTTCCTAGCTTTTGAAACTATTTTGGTGTCAGAGAAAGAGTACATGAAGCTGCTGTAAGAACTTGGGTTTTTGTTAGGTTGGTAAAGTTTCTATAATGATATGACCATTTTTGTTTGTCTCTATATGTGACCTGCTTGGTGTTTCAAAAGAATGATGACTTTGTCACACCCTATTGGTCCAAAGGAATAAATGGCAGCTGCTAGGGCTCCAGACCCAGACATGGTCAGTGCTGTGTCAGCAGCAGCCTGGCTCACATCTTCCATCCCCGAGGGACAGCACATCCTCTCCTCGACACACCCACTCAACATTAACACCAAGAACAATTGCTCCCTGTGTCAAGTCCCAGCCCCGCCCTGAATCAGGACAATGCTGGGTTACATGACTCTATTCTCAAGTACTGCTTACTTCCTTTGCTTTGGATTTCCTTTGGGGACCAGCTTACCAAGAACAGCTTTTTTCTTGTTTGAAACAACACATTTTAAAAGATGGTTAGTGAGGACACAATCACTTTCTAAGCCTTTTTACTCAGTTTCCCTAATCTCTGTAAGGCTGCATTAACATACAGGAATTTGATTCAAAACACAGAGAAAATGGACAGAAAGATTTCTACATCAAAGAGGACCTCTGAATGGCTCTATGTAATGAGGATTAGGCAACTATCACATATAAGTAATTTTTTCGTTGAAGACATTGCTTTCTGTTTTCTTTACATATTTATGTTAGATTTGAGTTCTCGAATTTTGCGAGTATACAACATATTAAAGCAACAGTACCAAGCAACACACATTTATATAAAAATTCAGAAAAGGAAGATGATACATTCTAACAATATATACTGTTAATACTAACAATTTACATTATTTCTCAATTCAGACCCTTCAGTACTTAGAAATTTATCTACTCATTTACCAATCAATATTTATTAAGTACTTACCCTTGTTATAGTTTTTTTTTTAAGTTTGTATCCTCAAGAAATCAGTTTGGTAAAAGAAGAAAGACATGAAAACAAGTGATTATAATAGGCCTTATAGAAGAATATATATTGCATAAAATATGGATAAAGAAGAAAGAGTGGGCTGGGAAGGTACCTCAAGTGGTAGAGTGCTAGCCTTGAGCTGAAGAGCACCCAGGCCCAGAGTTCAGGCCCCAGGACCAGTCCCCTCCCCCCAAAAAAAAGAAGAAAGAAAATTTTCAGTGGTATATGCATCACAAAAGGCTTTAAGTATAAAGCCGTCCCCAAGTTTAAAAAGATCTGTCACATCTGTCCCAGGGGACCAAACAGAGGCAGGGAGGCAAAGGAGAAAGATTATTACAAGGTTTATTAGAGGAGCCATATTTGTCCTGGAGAGAGAGCGCATGGCAACCTCTCCTATCTAGGTAGCAGTCTGGGCAGAGAGAGGGAGGAGCTGTATAGTGGGAACTCCAGGGCTGGGAGAAGCTCCGGTCTGGGTGGAGCTGAGGACCAAAGGTGGGCATAATGCTTACAAAGGTCAGTCTTTAAAAATGTATGAGAGACCACTTATGGGCTTTCCACGTATGGGTGAATGTGTATGTGTGTGCACATGCACATACATGCACAAGTATGTGTGCACACATGTGCACAGCTGGAAAGGCAGATGGGTTCCCTAAGTCCAAGAAAATGAGGGCTTTGTGAGTCAAATAACCTGTAGGTATTAGCAATCATCCCTCAGAATAGACTAACTGAAATGAGATTTTGCTCATGCTGTGAGTCTTGATTTCTGAAATCACCTATTTATTTCCTTCGGTGTGCTTTACTTTTGTTTTTCTTTATAGTGCAATGCATTTTGTGGTAAGGATGGTATCTTAAATTTAATTCACTATTCTGGTTTGGGAACTGCTTGCTGAAGGATGTCAGAAGGCCAAAAGTGAGCTTTGAAGGTTGGCAGCAGGCATTCCAAGAGAGCATTTTCCCAGCCAGCCAAATGTGGCCATGCCCTGGGTGGTGAGAGAGTCCTTACCACTTCAGTTGGTCGGTAGTATTTGAGATCCACAGTCACATGAACTTTGCCGGTTTCTTTACATCTGCCCACTTCATTTTCATTCTTTCCTTCCCACCTGCAAAGAAGATAAACACTTAATCAACTCCTAATTGCTTGGGAGCATTTGGCTCTGCTTCAGTCCTCAGGAGGCTCCCTGCCTTCTCCCAGCAGGAGGGGATAAGTCATTCTCTGCAGGAGCACAGGCCAGCATGCAGCCTTATTATTAGATCAACAGTGGCTTTCAAAGCCTTTCTAGATCTTTTGTGAAAGGTTAGAACTTCTTTCTTTCCAAAGAAATCATGCGAATTCAGAAGTGACACTTTAGAAATAAACAGATGGGACAAATATAAAAAGGATTGTGTAACTTTCAGGGATTTCAATGATTTTTGTACTTTTTTAGAATGCTGTTGATAAATCAATTATTATAATTAATGTTTTTATACTGCTCCTTTCTTCATTTTTCCTTTTTTTTGGGGGGGGATACTTTTACAACTATTTAGTATCGACTCAATGCATCCCATTTGGGGATGCGTTCTATACCTCATTGGCCACTCAGTTCATCCTGATATTTATACAAGTGCCACTGTTCCCAGAAGTGGACTCCATTAATACATCTCAGATGATTACATCTTCCACAAATGTACAACTAGTTGTTCACTTCCTGGGAAAGGAGGAAGACATGGTTATGTCTCTACCATACCTTCTCTGACTAGACTGTGATATTATTATTATTAAATTTTTTTTTTGCCAGTCCTGGGGCTTGAACTCAGAGCCTGGGAGCTGTCCTTGAGCTTCTTTTGCTCAAAGCTAGCACTGTACTACTTGAGCCACAGCACTACTTCTGGCTTTTCCTGTTTATGTGGTACTGAGGAATCAAACCCAGTGCTTTGTGCATGCTAGGCAAGGACTCTACCACCACTAAGCCTCATTCCCACCCCATGGGATATTATTTGAATTGGAGTTTCATACCCTAATCTCTTAATGGTTGAAAACAGCAAGTCTTGAAATAAGGATACTGGGTCTAACTGGTGCCATCTTGGTCATGTGGTAGATGATAATTTTTAACTGGTGCCATCCTGTCTTCATGATGGAGGAAAGTGGAGTCCTACCTCCCAGGTAATGGGCATGCCTGAATTCCTAGAGGTAGGAGCAGGAACTTGGACAATAGGTTACTGGACTAGTAACCAGTCCTTACCTGAGACCCTGCCCCTGCCCCTGCCCCTATTTAGGCTGGGATCAGATCAGGCACCAGGACGCCTTGTCTCATGCCTTTTGGCTCTACTCTGGTCACTGTGGAGTCCCACTTCAGTTCTCCATTGGAGTTGATCTGGTTTATTAGTATCTTTTTTTCTGCTCTTTCTTTTCTCTCCTGCTCTCATGGCTCAGTTTTCTAACAGTGTTAAGTATATTTGAGGGACTGCAGGTCTTTGGGACAGGAGTTCACCTGCACTAGCAGGCTTTGATAAAGACTCCTGATTCAGCCTCTCAAAGTGTGGCACATCTATTAACCCAGGGATGGAAGAAGGGAACATTATTAGTAAGATACTTCACTATATGAGTTCTGGGGGTGTTGAGAGTAAGCATTAAATATTGAAGTAGGTTAGATTTAAAATAGACTGAATTTTGGAGATATAAACTGCATTCACAAACTATTTCTGATAAACCATCTAGATATTCTGTTAAATCATCTCTTGGTAGCAGATTAGAAATATTTCATTGTAGGAATATTAGTTTATTAGTGTGTTTAATTTGCCAATGGACTCAAGAAAAATATGGAAAATATCTCATAAGAAAAAATATGGCACAGTATGCTGTACAATATAAGATGGTCATTTCCTCATAATTATATGTTTATTAATTAAGGAGGTGTTTGGCAAGCTACTTATTTGGTTTAACTTCTTTCTTAATATTGAGTAGATCAGTTTGAAAAATTAATGTAGGCCAAAGTATTTCAAAGCAAGATGATCAAAGATAAATATTTGGAAAACTTAACTGGAAACACTATAGATGTACTAGAGTAAATGAATTAAGTGCTTTGAAATGAGATAACCTAAAGTATCTCTTAAGGCTAACGTCCAATCTTCATTAATATTTATAACTGCTTAAATCCTGATTGTTTAAAAAATTATCTAATTTTAAACCTGATTAGTTAAATGAAATATTTTCCTTGGCTATGTTTTCAGTAAATGAAAGGATATTTATATTTCATATGCATATTTAAACTTCATTTGTGTTGTATTTTATCCTTCCCAAAGATACACAGTCCAATGGACAACTTCATGACAACCTCTCCAGGGAAGCCAAAGGGTTAACAGAAACAAAATTCAATGCTGTTCTTTTTCTTCCATTTGTAGCTAAATTCTAGTCAATATAGGTAATGCTGTTTTACATAAACACATTGATTCCACTATCCTTAGATGTCACAAACTTGAGATGCAGTCATTCAAATCTAAAGGTCAATTTAACACACACACCACACACCATATTCAAACTCATAAAGCCTTGGTAAAGAGATTTCCATGTGGGTCAGACAAGAATGAGACCACCTGGTGGGGGAAAGAGAGGGGAGTTTTTAGAACCCAAGTCCTCAAATTTGTTCATAGGAAAGCCAGACAGTAAATACTGTGTGCAACGAATCATATACAAGCTGTGTTAGCTGTTCTTTTCTCTGCTTTCTTTTGCTCCTCCATTCTCATTTTCTTTATTTACTTTTACTGTTATACAAACTACCCTTTAAAATGGATAAATGTCATTTTCATCTCAAGGAAAATAAAACTCAGGTCTGAACTGGGCTTAGGCCTGTAGGTCAGAGTTGGCTTCTTCAGGGTAGGGGCATCTCCTCACTGTTAGTGAAAGGAATTTTAGAGTTTACTACTGATTCTTTTTGGTTGTTTTGCTAGTAACAGAAAAGATTTGGAATTTGTAATACTAGTTCAAATGGGTAAAGGCTAAAGGGTAGACATTCCTTATCTCAGTAGTTTATTAAATATAATTTGATCTGGGTGCCAATGGTTAACAATTGCAATCCTAGCTACTCAAAAGGCTAAAAACTGAGGATTGTGGTTTGAAGCCAGCCCAGGCACGAAAGTCTGCGAGATTCTTGTCTCCCGTTAACCACCCAAAAACTGGAAGTGAAGCTGTGACTCAATTGGTGGAGCTCTATGTAGCCTTGAGCAAAAAAGTTATGGGACAGTGCCCAGGCCCGGTGTTCAAGTCCCAATACCAACACATCAAAATAACAAAAACAACTTAGCAGACTTATGTTTACTTACTCTGGTACCTTCAGGTCTGAGCTACCAGCAAGCCTTTGGTATTTCTGTCTGGACACTGTCTGCTGGGCTTCTATCTGGTAAAAGCTTGAGTACAGTCAAAACAATTACTAAGAGCATGGAATTGACCTCTACAATTGATACAGCTCCAATCAAATGGAACTAGGAAATGGCTCAAAGCAGAACCAAGTTGGCAAATACCACTTTCTAGTCTGTAACAAGTCTGCATGAGGACAGTAAGCAAAAGTTTAGGCCAAGAGCCAAAAAAATATTCAGTTACAACAATACATAAAACACTTGTATTAACAAGTAAAAGGTAACAGCTAACTTGTTCTAACAAGGAATGTCATGACTCAAAGCAGAGATGCAAAGCCAGTGAAGTGACCATGGCTTGACAAGGAGTCGAAAGGAGACTCAAATAATTAACAGAAATTACGACCAACTAATTTAGTTTAGCAGTTCACCAGTGAGATTCTTTTGTAATTCATTCTTTTAAAATAAATTGTTAACTTTTAACAAATATTAAATAGCAACAGGAAGCACTGAAAATAAGATAATCAGGCCTAATGGGGTGAGATAAGGTTCTATTAAAACCTACTCAACTAGGAGCCCCTTTAAGGAACAGCAAAGCTCAAACTGGCTAAGTCAAGTTTGGAACTATTTTATGTGTACATGAGGGCGGACAATGCACCCTCACTAGTACCTGAAATATCACAAAGTTCTTTGATCTCCTTTTCTTTTCTTTCTTATGTTCTGAACTTCAAAAGTTTGTACAAGTCCCTCTAAGTGTCCAGTGCTTCTTGATCAGTCACCTCTCATCATTCTCCCTCATTTTGTCTGTTCCCTCTTTCTAGACTCATTTGACATTTTTCCTTTTCCTTTATTGCACATATACATTGAATATTCTGGTTGTTTTTATCCTATTCCCTTTTTCATCCATCTACCCTCTGCCAACAACCCCCCTTTACAATCTTATCTCAGCTTCCTGAGATAAACTGTTAATTGTTCAAAAAGTTTACTCCATGGAGTTTCAGTCCTGCTTATACAATAAAGGTACCTGTACAACCATGTTCACTGCAACCAAGTCCACAAAAGCCAAGTTGTGGAAATAACCCAGATGCTCACAACAGATGAATGGGTTAAAAATTATCTTTATGGAAAATGAAGTTTTAGGTAGCTATCAGGGAAAATGAAATTATGTCATTTTTAGAGAAATGTATGGATTTGTAAAGAATTTATTTTCAAAAAAGGTTGTTTTGGGGCTGGGAAGGTGGCTCAGCGGTAGAGCGCTTGCCTTGCATGCATGAGGCCCTGCGTTCGATTCCTTAGCACCACATAAGCAAAAAGAAAAAAGCCGGAAGTGGCGCTGTGGCTCAAGTGGTAGAGCGCTACCCTTGAGCTGAAGAGCTG